TGTGTGAAAAAAATGATGAACTATTCTGCTTGTATATTTATTGGGATATTTCTAGAATGAAGTTAAAGACTTGGTAGCACTGGCTGCTTCTGAAAGGACAAGAGAGGTTGGGGCAAGAGGCCATTTGACCTTTTAAATTAAGGATGGATGGATAGTTCATATAGAAATTAACAGAAAATTGCAAGTAAAACAAATGGCCATTGCTACAACAGTGTTCTAAGCAGCTAAAAATACTTATTCTTTTAGAAAGAGCATGTTTTACACTGGATTCATGAACATTTAAATCACAAGAAAAAGAAATAACACCTACAATTCTAAAATGAATCAGATCTCTCTACCTTATATAAATTAATCTAAGTTTTATTCATACAATGTAGACAGCTACTGAAGGTTCCTCCAAATAGTTAAGGTATATTAATTTTTACATCAATTAGAAGATATATATGATAGTACATTAGACATAGTTTCCTTATTCTTTTTGGCAGAATCTAATTTTACCAAAAGGTTATATATATATATACATATATATATATATATATATATATATAGAGAGAGAGAGAGAGAGAGTTATTATTATGTAAAGATTCAAAACTAATTTTATATTAAAGTCTTAAAATGCCTAATGCAATACTATTTAGTTATAAAGAACAAAAACAATAAATGAATACAAATATAATTACTTAATAGAGGAAAGAGTAAAGTTTCTTAAATCATATTGCCATTTACTATCTGGAAAAATATAAGATATAATATGCTATTATGAGCACAAAAACATCATTGCATTCACAAGTTTTTACTCTACAAATGAAAATTATTTAGTTTTCAAGGTTGTAGAGTTCTACAAATGAAGATGCTACAAAAAAAATTTTCATGTAAAATGAAGGGAAGATAGTGCCACAGTCAGAGTGAAGGATAGTGATGAGTCCAGATTAATGACAATAACCAACTCCCATACTTCATGAAATAGCAACAATAGATGCCTCATTTCAACTGAGTAAAATCTAAAACACATTACAACTTAGCTGAAGTCATATCTAATGGTGAGCCAACAAAATTGTTAATATTTCTGAAAATTCTTACTTTTAGCAGAAAATTTTTATTTATAATTTTTATAATGTATGTACATATAGATATACACATATATAACTTATAAACATATGTGTTTTTAATGACCACATGATATACTAAGTAAAAGGAACAGTAATATTGCCATCAAATAGGAATAGTTTATACCATAATATATCCGTAATATAAAATCCATTACCATTCTAACAAGCCAAATATGAAATATTAAATCATGCTAATAAATCTTTTTTTCATTTAAAGTTGTAAAGGTAAATTATACTTGAAATAAAAATTTTACTAATAATCCAGATTGACTGTAATAGGGCAAAGATGATTCCAATAAGCATGTTTTAGGCTAGGCAGCAAAGTATTCCAGGAGATAATCTTTGATTTTTTTCTCCACTGTGATTTTTATGTAAAATCATCAACCTTCTTCAACAGCATGCCATAAGAAGTTATTTTCACATTAAACTTTCCCTAGGACATGGTGTTATTCCTAATAATTTTAAGTGAGAATATTTTTGTACAGACACAATGGATTGTATAAGAGCATCATCTATGAAGCTATTCTGAGGTCCAAGGTAGGAGACTGCTAGCCAGGCAGTGAGTTATGGTGTCCAGTTGTCTTCCCAAGTATCTTAACTCATTTACTATCAAATGATGATGATCTTGCACTGACTTCTCTAGTTGACTATGGTTGTCCCTTGTTTTCCATGAATGTGCATCATATGTCCATATGCCGCTTATTTAAGATATGGTATTAGTTGTACACGACCTATCAGAACACTTTTGTGTATTTTCCTTTTTAAAAAAAAAACAAGGTGTGTGTGTGTGTGTGTGTGTGTGTGTGTGTGTGTGTGTGTGTGTGTGTCCTGAAGATTGAATGAATGAAGGTTTGATCTGATGTACCTTTACCCACTGAGTTATCTTGCATGCCAGACTGTTTATATCAACTCTGGGTTATTTATAAAATCTAACACAACATAAATATGCTATGAAAATAGTTAACGTACTATGTCATTTGGGGGAGAATGGCAAGCAAAAAGTTTGTACATGTACCCCATTTTTCCCCAAGTATTTTCTGTGAGGTTGGTTGAATCCATTGAGGAGAGAACTGTGGGTAAGGAGAGGTGACTGTTTCCTGCACTTAGGCATTTTATGGCTGAGACACTAGCTATTATTATCATCAGTTATATTAGCTATGTTACACATTAGAGGAACAAGATCAGTTGGAGAACCTGAACTTCAATGGCATACAGCATATGGCCTAGTGTGGAAAGACATGCTGCCAGACACTGTGTTCACAGATATGCCTTAGGTGCTACGGCGACTGAAAAAGAAATATGACAACAAGAAGCACCTACTGTAAGCATACTGATTTCTAGTCATCAAAACAATGAACAAATGTATTGGTTTTCAGCGTTTGGCAAGAGGAGAATAGTAGAGAAAGTTCCAGGGGTAAATAACACTTAAATTTGCTATAATAAAATGAAACTGTAAAGTGATAAGAGAAATCACACTGTGACTTGAGCTAATATGTTCAGAATTATTGAGGTGGGATGTAAGTCAAATATACAGCTAGGTAATAAAACATAGTAAACACTGGCAGATGTATATAGATAGGTTTACATAGCTTAAAACTATCTCATATTCTCGGTGCAGCCCCAAATACATAAAATTTCTCTTCTTAGTTAACTTTTATATGTTTTTGGCTAAAAAGTTAGTACTAGTGTAAAAAGAAAACCATGGCCTAAAACACAACAGGCTTATCATGCCTGAGAAGTCAATATTTAAGTACAAATCTATACCTATAATAATTAGTATTTTAAAAGTAGTTGCAACTATTCTTAATTGCTATACCTCAGTTATTTATGGGTTTATTTGATAAACTGATATAATAAATTAGTCCAGAGTTGTACAGTGGAAGCTCCAGGAGTAATGTTATCTTGCACACATATTATAGGAAAATAATGGCACCCACTGGTTTAAAAAATCTACAAAATTAAAAATTTTAATTTCTATAACTATACATTTTAACGATTTGAAATATAATGTTTAGTTAATTTACAAGTAGAGCTTGCAAATTAAATAAACACTGGAGATAGCTAGATAGCTAGAATTGTCATGAAGGCAAATAGGAATGGCTCCAAGAGAAGTCAGAAAGGATAAGGTCTCAAGGAAGGCATATCAGCATGAGCGAGTGGGTGAAGCAAAAATGAGAGGGCACACAAGGCCTTGAGAACTAGCAGACACTTTCCCTACAACTGGAAATGGCATTTGACATATATCGTAGGAGGCATGTTCTAAACTACCAGTACCATATTCCTTTTGTAACAAGTATAAGCTTACTGTTTTGTCTATATCTCATGATTCTTTTGTAATTGTCAAGATTTTAAAGCTAGGAGGAAATCAAAAGATTATTTAGTAGAACACCTTGTTTTGTTGATAGAATAACACAGGTAGAGAGGATATGGCTGATTTGTAATCTGTATAAACATCCGCATGGCTGAAAAATTTAGAAGTGTAAGATTAGTAAAAGCAAGAGCCAATACATATAAAAAGCATTTCAAAAATACGTACAAAAATGCAAAAAAAAAAAAAAATTCCACTCAGAAAAAAAATTGCACTCAGAACAGCTGTTCTGAAGTTAGAAAAATGCTGAATTACACAAAAATAGAGCGTTTAAAATTTGATTAGGGAAAGGTCAGTAGTAACGATGAAAGCATGGACAAATCACAAGCACACAAGTGTAATACAAAGTGTATAGAACAGCCTGAAGAAAATCCAAAAACTGAAAAGTATAAGCCTCGTACTGCTATCATTTCCTCCCCATTCACCACTCCCTCATTTCATTTCAAGAACAAAGGACATGGTAAAATAATGAGAAAAGTGTGCATACACTTAATTCAAATCCCCAGCACTAGGTTCCCATATCATGGCAGGGTTAGGGGTAGAACTCAGGAGCTTGAACATGCTAAGCACTGTCCCGATACTACTGTGGTACAACCCAGCTCCATTCCATTTGAATCAAGTAAGAAGTCAATTCCATTGCTATTTTGCCTTAGGTGATCATTTTCCCTTTTATACACAGTTGACTTTACATTTGATGACATCAAATGGCATATAACTTCCTATATTTCTGAAACCATTTCAACAAATTAATTCTCTCACACTGACATGTCATCCTTCTGTGTCAAAATGCATATTTAAATTTAAGTGCTTAAAAGTACTATAGGAAAATGTGTCTTCATTCTACCATTTGCTCATAGCACCCACACAAGTGTCTCACATATGAATCACCTGTTACCACTGCTTTCTGGAGTCTTCCTTTGGTAAGGGCAATGTGACTCTGACAAATGCATTGTAGCACATGACAACACATCTTCTGACAGGGTCACACAACATAGCCCAGTCTGGCCACAAACTCACCATCCTCCTGCTCCTGCCTCTCATGAGCTAGGATGACAGACATGAGGTCCACATAACTATTTTAAAAATTTAAATACTAGTAATATAAATATGATAAAACAAATACATGTGGCTCTTTCTATTGCAAAACCAAATCAGTTTATAAATGTGTTAAATAAAATATAGTACAGATGGTATATAATTCAGGCTGGCCTTGAATTCACAACAATCCTTCTGCTTCAATCTCTGTGTGCTAAGATACTAGGCATGAGCCCACAAATACAACAGAGTCAGTGTTTACAGTAGAAAAAATCACTTCTCTAAATCTAGCTTTCTATTATGGATAAAGACTTTCTACCTACTGAATTAGGGCATGCTACCTGTTCCATACTCTAAAGTGACGGGATACGAAAACTGCTTAACACAATTTCCTCTACTTGAGTCTATATGATTTATTTCCCTCCATAGAGGAAAACAGTACAATACAAGCCACAGAAGCTAATGTAAATAATAAGTCAAACACTTACTGTTGCTGGAGAGGCCCGGGTTGTGTGTGTCACTGAGTGACCAGAATTCTCCATTGAATTGCCAATCAGATAGGTTCCTCCAGAGCTGCTGATGAGCTGTCCTCCTGTGACGCCCATCTGAATACCACCAGTACCCACCATACTGTGGGAGGACACCACGGTTGTCACCTGTGCTGAACTTCCTTGAGTATCAAAGTAATTTCCTCCAGTGTTTTGGCTGTACATCTGTGTTTCTGTATAAGGGTAAGTTGTTGTTCGGCTTTAGAAGGAAAAAGAAAAGAAAAGGAGAGATTTACTAGCTTGTTTAAATCACTATTGTTCTCTTTAATACAAATGTTTTTAAAAACACATTATTAATGTCCAGCCTTTGAAACCACTTAAATTTTGTATTTTTCTGTGAAATATTATTCCCATCGACAAAGGGATTGATTTCCTCTCCAAATGACAATGTCTTTAAGGAGAACCTTAACTTGTTCCTCTAATGTAGAGTATTTAATCTCTATAGGAGCTCATATCCAATTCATCAACAGGTCAGTTTGCTGCAAGAAATCTGTTCACAAAGTCTTTCCTTATATTTAAATGCTCATGTATATGCTACTGTGAGGAAAGCTGAGATCTGTCATTACCAGGGACCACTTCCCATCCATGGATAACTAGCGATTATTTTTCATTTCTGAAGATGCTTCTGTGGATTCCTTCCTCAAGACCAAAAAGGTCTTGAGGTAAAACATGACTTGTGTCTGTGTAGTAGGTCTTCCCTTCATTGATGACTGTGGTAGCTCCTCACACACTCACTTTCCACCTCCCCAAAATCTGGTCAAGCTTCTGCCTTTAGCCTTTCAGTGAAGTGGCTTTTAATAAGGTCACTTGTGACCAAATGTAAATACCAGGCTAAAAGGCTTCTTCAAGCCCTTGTCTCTTTTTGACCTATTTGCAGAATGACACTGCTGACCACTCCGTGTTGCCCTTTTCTTCTTTGTCTGTTCTGATTCCGTTTATCTGATTTTTCATTTTCAGTTGATGGCATCGTACATTACAGAATACTTTTATTTTTTTTTTAATGTGTAAAGTTCACAAGAAGTTACAGGACTACAGAAAAATAAAATATGCACATTCACAAACATTGCTTACATCTTTAAAATTTCAAAGGGTAAACATCTGTCTGCAGGGCTTGCTGTTCTCTAACTTCAGCCCCACATGTAACCAAGCCTGGCATTTGGGTATCAAGTAGCCTGGTACTTTACTTTCCCTGGCATTTCCTCTCCACTCTTCACGGTTATCCTACAACCCCCTTCTCTAATCTCCAGAGTGAATGGATCACTACAAGGGACAGTGTCTTCCAGACTAAACAGGACTGATGCACATAAACTCACAGAGACCGTGGCAGCACTGACAAAGGCTTTTACAAGTTCAAGCTAGATGGGGTTCCAGCAATGAGAAGGGCAAGCAGACACAGGCTTGCACCCCTAACCAAGAAGCTATCTTGCATCAGTAACTCTTGCAAAGGAAAATTTAGTCCTCTCCAATGGATCACTACTGGGCATATTAACAACACTTTGGGGTAGCCCCATGTCCATGAGTAGATGCCCAACACAAAAAGAATTCAGTGGTAATTCTTTAAACATTTTGCCACATATTGCTTTCTTTGTGCACTTTCTGTCTTTTAACCTTTTGCTTATATATTTTGGTATCTTTTTTTTTTTTTAACTTTCATGCGTTTCTTAGTTTTTGTTTGTTTAAAGAGAGAGACAAGAGAGAAAAGGTGTGGCATTGGGTTGGTGGGGAGATGGGGGGATAAGAGGAAAAAGGTGTGGCATTGGGTTGGTGTGGAGGTGGGGGGATCTGGGAGGAGTTGGGGGAGGGTAAAAGTGTGATCATAATATACTGTATGAAAATACTGTTTCAATAAAAACAGCACAAAAAAAGAGAGAATAGTTTTCAGAAAGTATTCCACACTAAAAAAAAAAATTTATACCCACCACGAATAACTACAAAAGATCCAAGTACAAATTCCAGTTTAAGCAATGATATAAACAATTATAGAACATTTAAAAAAAACTGAAAAATACCACTTACCACTTAAAATGTATGTAAGAGTCTTATCATTGCTATAATTTCCTTAATAAAGTAAAATTAGCCATGTTAATTTCACATTTTGATGAAAAGATAAAGATGCTTATGCCAATTTGTGTACACTGAATATATAGTAGCTCCATTTAACAATGAATAAAATAAGACAACTTGAGGTTGGCATTAAATACAGTCAAATGAGTCGTATAAATACATACAAGGTAATAAATGGTCCTGTTTCTCTTTTTGGAGTTCATCGAACTCATCCCAAGCCCTAAGTTATGTCACAAGGGAAAAATTTAAGATTCTATACACACCAATAACATCTATGTATAACTAAGAAGGAATTATCCTAAAAAACATAGTGAAGGGGGTTTGAAATTTTCTGCTGTGGTTTAAGATTGTATTACTTCAGCTTATTAGCACCATGCTACTCATCTTACTTAGAATGAGACCTTCAATGCTGAAGAAGGGCTGAGAATACCAACACAACACGTGTTGATTCCAGCAGTCCTATGAATGTGGACATTGTTCTAGAGCTTAACAAAAACATATATCAAAGGACTTAAGTCATTCCATCTTTCAGATGTGCTTTCTTCATATAATTCTTAATAAATATCAGTAATACACATGCACTGCAAATAAATATATGAAATTTATATGACCATTACATCAGTATGAAACTATGCCAGTGGAAAGCAAGTTACTTAAATGTTCCTATTTTCTTCCTATCTGAGCTTCAGTTTATTTGTCTGTAAAGGGGGGCACGGAAAAATGATGTCAATCTTACCAACTTTAACATTCTAGGAGGCTACATTTGAATGTCTTTCATCGTAGAAGAGATAGGAATTGTTTATATAGCCTTTTTTTAATTATGAAGAGACATCCAAGCTCTTTTCACACACCTTCAATTCTCTCTCCAAGGTTTCCTATGGAACCAATCATGCTTGGTAAGTGCAGCTTACCAAGCTCCTACATGTCTCAGGCTACAAAATCAGCAGTAGAAGAACAAATGAAGAAAGCATGCCCGCCCCTTAGTTACAGCGATTCCATGTAATCATTTCTTCTAAGGGAAGAGGGTTTTAGAGATAATAAGAAAACATAATTTCACCTGCAAATTCTGAAACTTAGCTGTGCCACTTGACAAGAAAAAGAATACTCTGAAGTGGTTTCTTATTAATCATTTGAAGTATATGGGAGAGGTAAGTGGAGGCCTTCAAAAAAATCTACCAACCGCATGGTTTTCAGGGATGACTTAGAAAATTGAGTCCCATTCTATTCACATGCTTATGGATTTTGAATAAATTACAAATGTCAAAAGTGTCATCTCCCAAAGTATAGTGTGTTGAAGTTTTAAAAATTACTGAGTTTCTTTCCTAGATGCTGACTTTCTTCAATAAAAAAAAAAAAAAAAAAAAAAAAAAAAAACTTTTGAAACTTTGTTAGGAACTGGGATCCTTTTAACATCTGGTACAAGGTTTTCATCTAGGCAACCACAGTATGCGATTAAAGGGACTCATATTTTGTGGAACATGGTTTGGAGAATTTGACATGAGTTGATGACGAATGTACTCTCAATCAAGAAGAGCTGAGAAGGTAGGTGTCAGTCCATGTACTGCACAGACACGAACACAGCCGACACCTTTGTCTCTTAACAACTGATCACCTCTAAACAAAGGACATATTTCACTTAATGGCTTACATAGAAAATCCCGTATAAAAAAAGACATCTGAATTTTGTCATACGAATGAGGGGGGAGGTAAAAATCAAAAGATGGTGTATGAAAAAGAAGAATAATTTTATTTTTTAAAAACGTGATGTCATACTAACCAAAAGATTGCAAATGCAATGGCCTCTCCTTGTGGTATGTGATATTCCTCAGCAAGTTTAACCATATAGTAACACAGACAACTAGAAAATCTAAGTTTTAAGAACTTGTACAAATAGAGATAACTAGGACCTAAATTTTGTGGAAATATCTTTGGGAGAACCATTCCAAGAAAATAAACAACTTATGCAACTTTTGTTCCTAAAGAACAAGAATAAAATAAGCAAGAGAAGAATGAATTGAGTTACCTTTTCCCTTGAGCAAAAAGTGATTCTGTGCCAATACCCAGCTCTGTAAAGTATTCTCAATTGTTCAATTGAATACATGCCTACTTACTAACCCACACTGTTAAGCCTGTTATGCTAGCAGTAATTGTCAATATTCACAGCAAGAACCAGGTAAACACTTTAGTTTCAGCAAATTATGATGATTACAGATTCTCATAAGTGATTACACACATCTGTGAGTGCTGTCATCACCTCTTGAGGGATACCCTGTGCATTATGTCTCCATGACATGAGAATGCTGGTAACACGGGGGTAGAAAACCAGACGAACTGAGAGTGTGCAGGTTATAGGGTCATACAGTGGATGCTTGAAAGTTCATGACAATGATCAGAGTCCCTCTCCCCTAGGAGGATCATTAGCAAAATGTGCTTATTATCACACAGAAGTGGGACTCTGAGGTCTAAGTCAGAGATCAAATACTAGCTGCTTATTAATTCAGTGTGATACAACAGAAGAATAGAGCTCATATTTTCCTAATACATATGGAAGTCTTCTGACTAAAAAGAGAGAATATAGGTATCCTAAGATGGGCATGTGATCACAGACTGTAGGCAGTCTAATGGCAGCAATATAAAGTTATAAAAAAGGTTCAAATAGCTTATGCTGAAAAAGTAATTATTTTGATGCCTGAGAAATAATATTCACAGTCATCTACTCACTATAATCTGAATATAATTCATAGCTATACTTTAGAACTCCTATTCAAAATGTATATTTTCCAGTAACGAGGGGTTTTAAAAGCACATCTCCTCTATCTTGACCAAGAGTATTCGCTGTGACATGATACTTGGAAGTGAAGATGCAATCTAGGCCCACACAGTCCAGATCCAAGCTAATTGGACTTTGCAGCAAGTGAACTCACGACCTAGACCTCATTAGCTATGATCTCATCAACTGAGCTGGTGGGCACAGAAAATATGTGTTGGCGCTGGACAGCTTCTGTGGAGTCATGTTTACACTTAAGAAATTCCCACAACTTTAGAGAATCAACTTCAGAGCTACTACTTTTCTAAGGCTATTTTTACAAGTGCATAAATTCATTCAACTCATACTTACTACATATATACAAGACA